TAATAAGAAAGTGTTTTTTTTTATTTAGACATAAATAGATATTAGATACATTTTTGTAGTAAAATGTCTAAGCATATATTTAACACCTATCTATAATTTTACTTATTTGTAATAGGGGCCGGCAGAATAGAATTTAATAAAAAAAAAAAATAACGGTAAAATTTTCATGTGTATTACAAGTATTTTTTTTATATACAACTTAGAATGGCAAACAAGCTGACGGTCCACCTGATCGAAAGTGGTAACCGTCGCCTATACACATGAGCAGTACCATGCACATAACAGAGTATACTGTTTCGCCCATGATACCCCCCATGCGTTGCCATTCCTGAGAACTCAGGTGTTATTCTTCTGTACCCTGTAAATTCATGCCATATCCCACCCTTCAGACCGAAACACAGCCATGCAAACACAACTGCTTCACGGTTGAAACACGAATGGGACAGAGGCACCCAAGCAATCGACTTTTGTACAAATATGTTCAATAACAATTTGGTATATTTAAAAAAAAAAATTTTTAAAATAATCATTGAAATCAGGTTACAAGCTAATAAAATAGCTCGACATGCACAAAAGAAAATTCAGAGGTATTTCAAAAACCTTATTTATGTAATGTCAAATCTTATATTTTAAATTTATACAACTTTCATATGAATAAATGCGTTTATCAAAAATAAATTTAAAAATACGGATACTTAAAAAGATTATTGTGAATGTGTTAATGTAGTAACCAAAAAAAAAAAAAACACTTTTTTCATTAAAATAATTAAAGGTTAAATATTTACTCACTCTGCATGTTCTACCGCTTATACAACGGATTGTGCTCAGAGGAATTATTCAATATGATGCCTGCGGCCACTTTCATCGTACGGCTCGCCATCGACTCCCTGTCGATGTTCACCCTCATACCTTACAGCCTAAATGGTCGCGTACAACGCGGTTTCAGAGATGCTTTCTCCCACGAACACTCAGGTTATGGAATGAGCTGCCGAGGTTTTCCTAAAGAGACTACAGCATGGGGTTCTTCAAAAGGGGGTAAAGAGGTTTCTTCAGGGTCGGCAACGCGCGCGTGATACCCCTGGTATTGCAGGCGTTCATAGGCTACTGTAACCGCTTACCATCAGGTGGGCCGTATGCTTGTTTGCCACCTCAGTGATATAAAAAAAAAAGAACATTGTAGTTATAACTAATTCGAGTTATTTTCTAATGTATTTAATCCAGCCCATCTCATTTTTACACATGCAACGCGCCTCTACTCAAATTCGTTAAGTTAATGGATAAAATTACTTTCGTCTAATCTATTCCATTAAAATATGAAGTTAACAAATGACTCGACCTTGTGCAGGTATGAGTAATAGTGAGTAATAACATTAAAAGCCCACTGACGTCCCACCGGTGGACTTAGGACTTTTCCTGTTCAATAAATATATAAATTAATAATAAAATAATTAGCAAACATTGTTACACTTGCAAAATAGTTATTTATTAATTTATTTGCTTCATAAGGATGTGGAGCGACGATTAAGAGAAATGTATATGATGAGTACAGTGTGAAAATGAAATCGATTTTATGGCGTTTGCGCTGCCTTTGATTTTGTAGGCTGTTTAAAATTAGCACATTTTTAGAAGGATGGTAAAAGTGTAACTTAAACGGCCAGTTGTGGGTGAGCCGGCGAACGGTGGCCGTCTCAGCAGTGTTGCGACTGCGCGCGCCTCGGTTCCCACACGCCGTGGAGCAACTGGTTCCTCTCATAGATTACATACACACAATATAGGCATTAAATGTTCAAATCTTTGATTGTATATAGATAGAGCGTCGAGCCTCAAAGACGGGTCGACTTTTTGTCAGCTAATTGTCATATTAGCTGACTCGTTTTTTTATCAATGTTCTATATGCTTACGCATAAAATGTATCATGACATATCGTCATAGTGGTAGAATACTGACGGATCTATATATGTAATATTTGTCAGATCCGTCAGTATTCTACCACTATGACGATATCTGTATTTAATTGTTTAATAAATAAAATGGGTTTTTACGCATTGAAAAGGATGTAGAATTTATAAGACAAAATAGACGTAGAAGTTATAAAGAAATCGGTCATAACTATTTATCATGCAGAATTGTATGAAAAATTTACCCGCTTTTCTCGAAGCATTTGTATGGAGATACTATATAATCTAAGGTTAAAATATATATAAATAATCCATACTAATATAATAAATAGGGGAGAAGGGATTGTTAGTAATGCGGACTACCAGTCCCATTGCTAGCAATATACCCTGTCAGGTCGGCCTTCAAGTAATTCCCCCTGGAAACCATCGTGCTGAATTCCAGGTATATTCATCACGATAAGCTAATTAACCTACCTTTTCATTTATTTATTTATTCATTAGTACATATATGTGTACATGGCGGGCTTAATGCTAAAAGCATTCTCTCCCAGTCAACCATAGGGAAGTGTCAGAATACTCGAATGCGGTACTAGTAATTATTGATATACATACATACTAAAATTACATATATAAACGAATAAATATATATGAATAACAAATATACTTACACATATATGACATATACTATATTATACACGAAATTGAGAATAATATAAACTTACTGCTCGGATAAAGTAAAAAAGTGAGCGTGAACGTTTTTTTTTTGAAAGACGGTTTAGTCGGTAGTCTCTCAATGGTATCAGGAAGCGCGTTCCAGAGTCGTGAAGAATGTAGGAGGACGGAATTCAGTCTCATTTATCACCCTTCATTGGTGTCCTAGTCTACTTTTTATACTGGCCAGCGAACATATCCTGGTCACGCGGATTAAGCCGCGGGCAAAAGCTAGTTATATTACAAGACTATAGCAAGTTGGCTCGCCGACGTCATAACTTAATACTAATAACCTACCTTTAAAGAGAGACCAATAGTGATTACAATTGCTGGATCCAACATTCAGCAATCCAGCTGGATTCAGCGCCTTTTTAAACATATTGGATCCATTATCTTAAATGTTGTATGAGGTTATATGTTATTTAATTTTAAGTTAATTCTTTTGATCTCAAATGATTGAGAAACCAAAGCAAATTGATATAAGACATCGCCAAATGAGTGAAAGATTTCATAGTTTATCGTGAGAAGTATAAATTAATAAAAAAAAACTCTCAAAAGTGTCGTCTTCTTATTTTCATTACACATTTTGCTGGATCCGCGCTGGATCCAGCTGGATTCAAGTCGATCCAGCAAGAATCCAGCTGGATTGAAAACGCCGCTGGATTGCAATCACTAGAGACCAATGCCCAGAAACAAGATATTAATAGGTATTCATGATAAGGAAATAAAAAATAATTTTATATTTTTAATTTTTATTTATTAATCATATTCATCATCATCATCATCATCATTATACCAACCTCTAACTGTCCACTGCTGAACATAAGCCTCCCTCTTGGGGAGTATTGCCAGTAGCTACCACGCTTGGTAGACAGATTGGCAACCGCAGTCAGTCTTTAGAGATGTTTTAAGAGGGACGCCGCTGCCCATCACTCACTCTCCTTTAGCCGCCTCTTACGACACCCACTGGAAAGGAAGGAGTGACCTGTTCTATGCCGGGACCACGCGACCAATTATTATTATTATTATAATAATATACAGACGAACGGTAACACGAGCTACGTCACGTGTCTAAATAATTAGTCTTTTTTTTTTTAATTTATATATATATTTTATAATTTTCGTAACGTAAATTGATGAATAAACGTCATTCGTATTGGAATGCTCTTATTAACAAATCAATTAGTAGCGCCACTACCAATAGATACGCTTATCTAAATATGTCTAACTATATTACACAACAATAACATAATGACGCCAATTTAATTTATAAAACAATATATATTTGTATATTATTATAAAATATATAGTACATTACTGCAGCGGTCAGCAACTGAGACATTGATGGACGAACGTGCAAATGTGGGCCGAGACGTAGCCGAGGCACACACACGTGAGTCCATCAATGCCTAGTTGTGGCCAAGACTTGTATAGTACTTTTCTCAAACAATGCGCGGAAATCAAAAGCACAATTTTACTTTTTAAGTTCAATGACGAATAACGAACAATAATAATATTTCACGCGCCGTAATGTTCCTTTGTTTTCTTTTTCAATAAACAGCTTTCTATTTGCAAGCCAGTGCGAAATTTAAATAAAACCTTTTGTTAGTTACCTCCTTGGTAGCCATGTTTCGAAGTAAACGGTCATTCCATTTTTAAATTACAAGACAGATATGAGTTTACATAGTAATTTATCTGGCCGCAAAACACGACAGACATGGATTATCATACAACTTTTACCGGCCACTGTCCGCATGTATCTGGCCAGTACGGCAATTTTGATTTATCTCGAAGAAGATTGTTATATTTATACATATATTAGTAGTAAATGCACTTCCTATTTAAATTTTCTGTTCGCCTCATGGTTGTCTGGTAGAGAACGCCATTAGGTGTCAAGTCCGCCATATGTACACTTACTTATATAATTACGCATTGAAGTTTAAATAACTAAATATTATAAAAAATATAAATATATTTTCCCAATAATATAAATTTTCATACATTATGTTTATTATACTTATGCTTATTTTAATTTACTTCATGGAAAATATTATATTAACAAAAAACACAGACTTAATCTGTGACTATAAAAAAAGCAAACACCAATGTACTTTATTTAAAAAAAAGTAAATCATTTTATTTGAATTCTTCAATTCCTTTTTCAAAAATATTTACTGCTTAAATTTCATAATTCAAACGTGCTTATTCTATGAAAGACTACAATTACAACTGGTTATAAAATTAAAAACATTTAATTTTATAATAAAGAAAAAATAATTTATTTTTATATAATTTCCGTTCCTTTTTCAAAAACATGATGTAATTATTTACATAAATCGACGCATGCCTATTCTATGACGGCGCCGCCACAACCACGTTGCTGGCCGGCCCGCCAACAGAAACGCATGGCGTCTTGACCGAGGCGCACGTTCCGTTTTTGATTTTGTTTCTATTTCGTTTTCAAACTTTAGAATAGATCGCGATCGGAGATTTATATTTTTTTTTTAAACACAAGAACATCATTTGTGCCAGTTATTTTGAAATGTCAAGGTGCTTTAACTGCCTTTTTGGTGTCGCCAAAAGTTTTTAAGTGATCTTTTTAGACTATAGAGAAGTGGTAGTGTTTTTTTTTTAAGTATAATGAATGGTGTTGTGATCGAAACGGAGCGAATGGACCCAACAGTTGTTGTTGACAAGTAAGTGTAGATACTAAACTTGTATTAAAAATATTGTTTAATTTTATTAAGTTGTAAATAAGTTAATATATTGAATGAAACATGAATATAGTAATCATATTATAATTGCGTGAAGTAAATAATCAAGGAATTTATTAAGTACCAGTAATTTGTAAAAAAAATATGTTGTACGAATATTATAAACATATTATAAACTTATTTTCATATATTTCACACAAATACATATATTTTATATGTGTTTTATATAATTTTATATAAAACACATATATAAAATTAACATTGCTTTATTTATCTAGTTCAGGGTTCGATTCCTGGGTGTACCAGTTTATGAAATCAAAGGATATATATTAGGATAATTTAATTATATTATACAACATCATATTAATATAATAAATGCCAAAATATGTAACTATGGGTGCATGGATTGATGTTTATTATTGTTTCACGCAAAAACTATTAAACAGATTTGAATTAAATTTGGTACAAGGCTAGTTTATACCTTAACATATACACACAACATACAACACATAACATATACAACACATAGGATACTTTATATATTTAATGATTCAAAGTTCGAAACGGGCAAAGTCACGGGATAAAGCTAGTAGTGAATAAAAGTACAGAACAATAAATACAATAAGTACATTTGTAAAAGTATCATAACATTCTCAATTAATTTGTCTTTGTACCTAAAAGATATACATTACATTACCATAGACAAGTTATTTTAATTATTCTTTTTTTTTTATTTTAAAAATACCATCGCCCTCGTCTACCTACTCGTTAACTCTCGCCTTATCTGTGACATAATTATATAAAAATTCACGCATTTAAACGTTAAATGGAAGTAATTAAATCCTTTTATGAGATAAGTGCACCATTATATTAATTATTTTAATCGATTTTAAAAGAGTTTTAATTAATTTGTCTGTGTTTTTAACCGACTTCAAAAAGATGGAGTATTTCAATTCGGTTGTATTTTATTTATGTTTACCGATTGGAAAACCTATTTGGAAAATTCTTTTGTATCTGAAAGGATGTATTTTCAGATTAGTCATATATATATATATATTAAATACAACATATAAATATCAAATAAAAGAGAACACAATGATGACAGTTATATTTAATCAATTTTCTGCAGCCTTTTTTTTATAAACTCTTTTTTAAAAGCTTTTATTCAATTTGATTTATCAATCGACTTTAAAACAAGGATATTTTCAATCGGATGTATTTTTTTTAGGATTGTAATCTTTTAACTCCGTTAGTTTGAAAAATTAAATTAAAAAGAAAATAAGGCAGAAAAATACCTACGACTAAAGCATAAAGTAAAGCGGAATAAATAGAAAAAAAAGAAAGTTATTTAAAAAATGTGTTACAAGTTTGATATTTATATGAAGTGCAATTTAAGTGAAATGAAATTGGAAATGAAGTGAGTTGTGAAACGAATGCGAAATTTTACAGAATACATTTTCCGAAACAATTTTGATGTGTTATTTTTTTGTGTAGAGTTTCTCTCGTATTGTTCCGATATTCTTTTTTTTTATACGACTTAGAATGGCAAACAAACTGACGGCCCACCTGATGGTAAGTGGCAACCGTCGCCTATAGACACGAGCAGTACCGTGGACATAACAGTACACACATATACTGTTTCTCTCATGGTACCCCCCATGCGTTGCCATTCCTGAGGACTCAGGTGTTATTCCTCTGTACCCAGTAAATTCACGCCATATCCCACCCTTCAAACCGAAACACAGCCAAGCAAATACAACTGCTTCACGGTAGGAACACGAATGGAACAGAGGTACCCATTCAATCGACTTTTGTACAAAGTCTCCCTCTCCTTGCGATGACGACAGAAACTTTTTTTTTTTAAATAAATATCTATTTTTAAACATACGATTCCGCATTCTTAATTAAAATATTTTCAATGTGTTTACAAAACATCGCGACCTTCGAATGTATACAGGAAATATTAAAAAAAAAAAAAAAAAAATATATATATATATATATATATATATATATATATATATATATATATATATATATATATTATATGTGTATATATATGTATATATATATAGATAGATAGATAGATACTCTTTATTGTTTCCTCCAAAAGATTACAATAGTAAACTTATTATAGATACAAACAATTACAAGATATAATCACAATGAGAAAACAATGGGCGACCTTATCGCTAAGAGCGATCTCTTCCAGGCAACCTTTGGATGGAGAGGAGTAATTATAAACAGTTTGATTGGAGGCACTGTGCGTCTGTATGTTTGTTCCAGTCATCATCATCATCTCAGCCGTCATCCGTCCACTGCTGGACATAAGCCTCCCCCATAGACTGCCATAAAGAACGGTCCTGAGCCACCTGCATCCACTGACTCCCTGCAATGCATTTGAGGTCGTCCACTCCATCTAGTGGGGGGTCGTCCTACACTGCGTTTGTTTCAGTATCACGCAAAGACTATCAAATTAAATGCAACACCAAATTGAATGCAATTTTCACAGTTGTATTTCTGGAAGTCTAACTTGAAAACTGGTGTATGTTTTAACTTGATAGATGCGTCTAGATGCAGTTACCTTACAAAATACACGCGTACGATGTTGCGGTTAAAAACTAGTCTATACTAATATTGCAAAGAGTAAAAATTTGATTTTTAGTTTGTTTATATTAAAAAAAAATTAACTACTCGACTGATTTTAAAAACTCACCTATAGAAAGCTACATTGTCAGTAACGTATTATTTTTGAAAATTCTATCTATTCATGCGAAGCCGGGTATAATCGCTAGTATATAACAAGATTAAACAAACATTATAACTAAGTCTGTGATCTCTGTAACTCTTGTTTGAAGGGTGGGATATGACAGTGAATTTACTGGGTACAGAGGAATAACACCTGAGTCCTCAGGAATGGCAACGCATGGGGGGTATCATGGGTGAAACAGTATACTCTGTTATGTCCATGGTACTGCTCATGTGTATAGGCGACGGTTACCACTTTCCATCAGATGGACCGTCAGCTTGTTTGCCATTCTAAGTTGTATAAAAAAAATCTGTAGATACAATTTCAATCAATTATTTAACTAATTGTAAACGTGCTGTTTACATATGTTTAATTCATTATGAGCGCTGAACGTGACGTGGTTACAGGTAAATAGCTATATAATAAGAATAATGCCGTAATCACGTTGTGTTGAGTCCCAATCGTGAATTTAAATTATTCTACTATCTATTTTTTATTTATTATATCGTATTTTTAATAGGTGTTTTTTTTTTTTTTGATGGGTGAAAATGGTATGGTAACCCCGCCTGCGCTAACGGGATACGCTGGCGGAGCACCAGTGAAGGGTGATAGATGAGAATGAAAACAGGCCAGTTAGCCCATCATGATGAATTCATCAGGAATTAACCATGATAGTTTCCAGAGGGAACCACGAGGAGGTCGACCTGGTTGGGTATATTGCTAGCAATGGGATTTTTAGTCTCCATTACTGACAATCCCTTTCCCCCCTAATGTTGCATATTGTCATGGTGTGCGTAGGATTCATCTAACTATACTTGTAAACCACTTAAAACGCTCTCTGTTAATAAATACCTACTTATAGAAATAGATTACGCATGTATATAATTTTATAAGTAAACATAACAATTTTCCTCATAAAGAAGTGTTAATAATTGGATAATTCAAAACAAATGTGGCCTACGATTTATTATTTACTAGTTGTTACACGTTACTCCGCTGGGGGAAAGGGATTGTTAGTACTGGGGAGGCTAGTCCCCATTGCTATCAATATACCCTTTAAGTTTCCCCTGGAAACCATCGTGAACAATTCTTGTTGAATTCGTCACGATGGGCTAACTGACCTGCTTCCTCTTCACCTATCATCCTTCACTGGTGCCCCGCCGGTGTATACCGATAGGGCAGGCGGGGTTACCATTCCATTATCACGCATTAAAAAAAAAGTAACTCCGTTTACGTAATTGAGAGAGGTACCTATATTGATTGACCTCGGTAAATCTCTCTTAAGTTTGTCTCAATAAAAAGTAAACGGTCGTCAGTGAAGTTCCAACAGTGGGAAAGTCCAAATTTGCGACTCTACAGCAGAGCAAAAAGACTGGGCATAATTCAAAATTACGCCCCACAAAAAACCGAATTCAATTGTGACAAAACCAGTTCTTTTCATTTAAAAACTAAACTACTAAATCGGTTTCGATAAAAAAAAATTTGAGACAAGCCTGTGAGTATATTTTTTCAGATAAAAAAACTTCCAAATCGGTTAACAAGGGCCGGAGTTAAACTTTAGCACCGTATAGAGAATAGAAGAGGCAAAATGCTGGGTCGCCTTATTCGAAATGACGATTTTTAAACAGCATTGTAGAAGGAAAGATAGAGGGCAAAAGAGGAAGGGGAAGACCGAGGAATAACTACATGGGACAGGTAAAAGAAACACTAGGTGTCATGTCGTATAGGGAGGTCAAGGATATGGCCTGGGATAGAGCTGACTAGAAGAGAGTGCATGAATTTGTAACACAGACAAAAGGAAACTATTAAATCTAAATAGAGAAGAATATATAGCATATTTATATATTTTAGTTACAATATCTATATATATTGATCTAATAAAGGATCGAAGCGTCAATAACTTTTGATTCCAAATTTAAATTCTCAATATCGATCACCAATACCAACTAGATAACAACGAATGAGCCGAAAACTCAAATATCGCATCGCTAAAATAAGGCCTCACAAACTAAAATTCGATATGCCATTGTCCATCTGAATATAAAGTACGAAAGGGTCTAAAAGTTTAATTATTTCAATACGTAACTTTAATTTTAGATGAGTATTAATTAAATTACTCAAATATGATCTATAGTATATTGCAAAGATAAATACTGCCACAGAACGAGTTATCACTACGTTAGATTTAATATTTTTTATACTATAAACATTGTGGTATCGTAATTTAGCAAAAAAGTAATATCATATAAAAACATAGTGTTGTTTTTTACTATTGTAGTTAGAATGTAACAAAATGGTTAGGCATCTAACAACTGTAACTCGTGGTAAAAAAAAATAAACTAGACCATAGACAATGACATTTGGTCAATAGACATGGTATTAAAATATTGCTCAAATATTGGCTTTACATCTACAAAGTCGAAATACTATATAAAAAAAGGATGGTAATATTTTTTAATTCAACTAGTTCCACTTGTTCCTTGCTCCCTTTATATAAATCTAACTTTATCGTTATGATATCATTGCAAAAAATCTGAGATTCTAGTCTCAAAATAGCAACATCTCAATACGGTGGCCATTTTTAAAATGGCGTGTGTTCCACGACAAAACACTTTGAAATTTAAATGCAACGACTTCGACAACATCCCGCGCGTGCCAGCTGAATTACAAACATTTACAATAAGTGACCAAAGAGAATGAATATCGTGGAATAGACACAAAGTTGTAACAAAAAAATATTCTGTATAGTCTATGAAGAAAATCTTATATCTTATTTATCTGTAAAACATTTTATGTGTTAACTAAAAAAATTTACTGCGATAATGCAGGATATTTTGGACACATTAGAAATTTTATCCACAGATAAATAACTTATAAAAAAAATCCTTTATACAGTTCATGTCTATAGGCGATGGTTACCACTTTCCTGTTCACCATTCTAAGTTGTATAAAAAAAAAATTGAAAAATTACATAAAATATTGTCAAGTAATCTAAAAATCTGTGTGGTCCCGGCAAACAACTTGCCACCACTTCCTTTCCCGTGGATGTCGTAAGAGAAGGGAACTTAATGGTCGTGGAATAAGCAGTAGCGTCCCTATTAAAACATCATCAAACCCAGTTGGGGTTTGTTGTTGCGTGGCGACTACTGGAAAATCTTTCTTTCTTGGGGAGGCCTATGTTCAGCAGTGGACAGTTACCAACTTATATGATGACGATGATAAATCTATAAATCATGATCCTGTCAGCATCAACGCTTTTTGTAACTTAAAAAAAAATCTGGGAGTAAAAAACAGCATGTTACACGAATCAGTTTCGGTTACGTAAAACTACAGTTAAACCAGCTAGTGAAAATAATGACGTGTTACGTACACGAACTAGTGTGACTAGTTTTATGCCACTTACTGGTTCTTTCGATTGCGTCACGACGAGGGTCAGCAGTGACGTGTGACTGGGCTTGTCAAACGCCATAGTCAGCATCTTTCGGCTGTGTATAATCCGTATTGAGTAACTATGGAAACAACAGAAATACTCCTGTTGCAGATTCAATTTAATATGTGAGAACAAACTCTTTTTATTATTGCACGTACTGGCCACTTATGCTTTTTTATTATAAAAAAATATATATAATGCATTCTGTCGATTGTATATACTTTTTGTCTGATGGCTTTCGCCAAAGTCATAATAAATGAAAAAAAAAATGTCTATTGTATTCAAATTAAAAAAAAAGGAAACTTAAAAATATAATACTCATTTTATTTTTCTCGTCGTTCTAATAAATATTTAATAGTTTAGCCGCATTTGCATCGCAATTATTATAATTTTCAACAACTCCTCGGGTTGACCACTAGATGGAGTTGTTATTTTAGTATATGTGTGTGCTACAACGCGATATTAAGATTTTCTAACACGTGTATAAAAGCTCAGGAATATATTTAATGGAATGATAAAAGTCATGTGTACAATCCAAGGTTGTAGTTATTTATTGAAATATAAATTAAAAAGGTACCTATATTTTTGGATTGGAGACTGTTACCTGTTCTCTAGTATGGACTAACTAGACATAGACATATCATTTTATTGATGAAAATACACTTATTTATTTATTTATTTAAACTTCATTGACCAATATGTTTTTCTTAAGATAGTCGCCTGATCCATTTATGCATTGATTCATGTAATATAAATATATCTTTTACTAAAATATAAATAAATTCATTTTTTTTAAACCGCCATTGAGTATCTCTGCACAACCTTTCATATTTTGTACCATATTTTCTTTTGATCAATACAGTTATTTAAATAAATAAAAAAATAATATAAATGTGAAATTGAAATGAGTCCGTTTGTTTATTTGTAATCTATTCGCGTTTTAACGGCTCAATCAAACATCGTCAAATCCCAAACAATAAACACAATCCTGGTCACGCGGGCAAAGTCGTGGGTAAATGCTAGCTAGCACAATATAAACTAATAGACATATTAAATAACAATTTATAAACAAAATTCACACGGCCACAATATGTATCACAGTTTTTAAAAGGTTTTATTTTTTAATTTATTCCTAGATCTGCGGTGTGTTCACATACAGCCCAAAAGCGCGCCAAACCATTTTACCCGTGAAACGCTTTCATTTTATACAAAAACACTCAGAATTACGAGCATTGTGACTGAAATAGGCACAAGTAGGTCACATTTTGTCTAAAAGGTTTCCTTTTCACAAGGATGTGACACGATATAATCTACTTACATCAATACGTATGTATTTATTTATTATGGCTATATTTACCTACTATATTTAGCAGAAGGTATTTTATTTTAAAACATTAAAATGAAATGGTAATCCGCCTGCGTTAACGGTTTACGCTTTCGGGGGTATTCTATACCGATGAAGGTTATTCTTTTTGCAATCTATTATTTATTTCGGTGTTGGTCCCATATTGATTTTGTGACGATTTAATTGGCCGTTTTTATTTGTACAGCAAAAATTGCATGGGCAGATTATTTTTGAGTATATTATATTATTTTCATATATGGTATGGTACTAATTCTCGCAAGTGAAGCTGCAGGATACAGCTAGTAAATAATATAAAATAACCTCCAATTTTAGTTAACTTTAAGAGATAGCCAGTTATTTAAAGAGTTGTACTGTTTGAAACGTGCTACCATCTTGGAATACGACTTTAACTATGATCCTATTACTTACACCTTTCACGACTTTATCTCCGGATATGAAAGTAATGAAACTCGAAGTTTATTTGAACGAAACTAATGACGACAGAGGGCGCTACATGGAACAGCTGTCACCTGGCTACAGAGAGTTACATCGCTGATCTTTCTTTAACTTAAAAAGTAATTTATTAAATACTTTGTTCGCATCACTATGTTTCGATTTGAAGGGTAGGATATGGAGTGAATTTACAGAGTACAGAGGAATAACACCTGAGTCCTCAGGAATGGCAACGCATGGGGGGTATCATGGGCGAAACAGTATACTCTGTTATGTCCATGGTACTGCTCATGTCTATAGGCGACGGTTACCACTTTCCATCAGGTGGGCCGTCAGCTCGTTTGCCATTCTAAGTTGTATAAAAAAAAAACTTTATCACAACTTCGAATATCTTTCAAGATATTGAGAGTTAAAGCAAAAATTTTACTGATCTTTACTGATCTTAACTAGCAAAAAAAAATTATCTAAAAACTAATAAATGTTGTAGAAAAATTAATGAAGATTATTATTCCTTTTGACAGTTTTCTTTTGTCTTTATTACTTTTGTTAAAAAAAATAAAAAGACACATGTCTTCCCGAAGGAAGACAAGGCAGAAAAAACAAGACAGTACCGAGCAGCATTTTTTATGGGTGAAAATGGTATGGTAATCCCGCCTGCGCTAACGGGATACGCTGGCGGAGCACCAGTGAAGGGTGATAGATGAGAATGAAGACAGGCCAGTTAGCCCATCATGATGAAATCATCAGGAATTAACCATGATAGCAACGCTAATTGCTAGCAATGAGATTCTTAGTCTCCATTACTAACAATCCCTTTCCCTCTTTACATTACGTGTTTAACATCACACATGTAAAGTTTCAACTTTATTAAATTAAAAAAACAGGCCCCTTATTGGTATATTTAAAATTAAATCTATATTTAAACATGTTTTAGATAACCTGTGAACTGATGTGACGTGTGTGTGTTTCTTTTGAACAATAAACCTCGTTGGCACAATGCGCAGCTGTCACAATAACGTGATAATGTTGTATGAGACTCATACATTTGCATGTACCCGGAACTAGTGAGCACGAGCTGTGTGTGTGAAGACATATGTGGAACGATGGCGGCGCGCCGTCACAGAAGCCGATCTGATAAAAACTGCTCTCAATAGTTTATTGGTGTTTACACGTCAAGTTGTCGATAATCTATTTTTTTATAACTACTTGCCATATTTTTTTTTTTTTATTATTTACTTAAACTTTTATTGAAGTTACCACATGAAAATATAGTTATGAACATTTTTAATGGATCTTTTTATCGAAATAAGTAATTTAAATGAATGATGACATATATATATATATATATATATATATATATATATATATATATATATATATATATATATATATAATTTTGCCAGTAATTGCCTCGCTTGGCAAACAGGTTGAAAATCGCAGTTAGGCCTTTGGGGAGGTAAACTAACCCCCGGCAGAAGCACAGTCGGCCGGGGTTTAGGGCCCCAGGGAGAGAAACCGGCGTGCAATGCGGGCAGAATCTAAGAGCACCGCTTTCTGCATCTTTCCCGGGAGTGAGCCGCCTCGGAATCCCAACCGTCTGAGATGTTGTTCCAGACTGGTTGGGATAAGACCGTTCACCGACATAACGATTGGAATGATTTCGGTGGACGTTTCCCCCCACATTTCAGTCATCTTTTGAGGCTTATTATTATTATTATTATCTATATATTATGTATATATATATATATATATATATATATATATATATATATATTGCAGTTTGGTTCCAGCATAGAATGGGCCAGCCCTTTCTTTATATGGGTCTTTCTTTATTGGTTATCTTTCATATGGGTGTCGTAAGAGGCGACTAAAACAACTTAACAGTCGAAGAAAGAGCAGCCACGTTCCTGTTAAAACTGCACCAAAGCCTAATTGCGGTTGCCAACCCGTCTGCCAAGCGTGGCAACTACTGACAATATCTGGTGATAGTAAAAATAGATATACTAGTTCCTCAATTTTTTATTTATTTCAGTGGGTACTTTTACAAGTGTTGTCGACTTACAACTAAGAACCTCACATTTTTAAAATCGGCTATAAATATGTAAATACAATATGAGCTACGAGTATTAATTAAAATGACAATGCTTTCGTTATTCATCTCTGGTCATTTGTCTAAAGGGCCTTCTAACATAATTCGCCCGTTCACGAAGTTGTTTGGACTTGTAAGCGGGTTTAAGCCTACACTACAATAGCCATATAATGCTATCTCTTTCAGGACAAGTACTTGTACAAGGACGAGTACTTAGGAACGAAACAAGTTGGTTTGGTTTTGCTGTATATGTAAAATAGCTACTTCTATGCTGACTTTTTTTTATACAACTTAGAATGGCAAACAAGCTGACGGCCCACCTGATGGAAAGTGGTAACCGTCGCCTATAGACATGAGCAGTACCTTGGACGTAACAGAGCATACTGTTTCGCCTATAATACCCCCCATGCGTTACCATTCCTGAGGGCTCAGGTGTTATTCCTCTGTACCCAGTAAATTCACGCCATATCCCACCGTTCAAACCGAAACACAGCCATGCAAACACAACTGCTTCACGGTTGAAACACGAATGGGACAGAGGTACCCAAGCAATCGACTTTTGTACAAAGCCTCCCTCTGGTAAACATAATAGATATACCAAATTCTATGGTCTTCTAGATGCTGTTCGTTTATTCAGGTGACAGTTATCACTTTCCATCAGTCGGGCCGTCTGCTTGTTTGCGACTCTAATATTTCATAAAAAAAACCTTTTCCCCCATCTTAATGAAGCTGCCTGTCATCCGCACCTGTTATTTGTAAGATGTTTTCTTTATTTATTATGTGTTCTTGGGCTCAGGTTTCCTGCAAAGGCACCCGTAACAAGATGGTGTAGCTAGCGAACTCAACAAGCTCCCTTACACTAGTGATGTGCCGAGTCAGCCTCTTTCGATAATCGAATTTTTACTCGAATTTTTACGTGTAGGTTTTTTTTCGAGTAGTAATCGTAAAAAACTTGAAATTTAGTAGTAATTCTAACCCCATTCTAAGAACTGGGATTAATACTCGAGTATTTGTAGGGATATTCGAATATGTTGTTAGACTCGAGTACCTACTTTTTTAGCTGATTTCTAAATCTAACTTTATTTTAAGACACCAGAGGGAGACTATGTACAAAAGTCGATTACTTGGGTACCTCTGTCCCATTCGTGTTTCAACCGTGAAGCAGTTATGTTTGCATAGCTGTGTTTCGGTTTGAAGGGTGGGATATGGCGTGAATTTACTGGGTACAGAGGAATAACACCTGAGTCCTCAGGAATGGCAACGCATGGGGGGTATCATGGGCGACACAGTATACTCTGTTATGTCCATAGTACTGCTCATGTCTATAGACAACGGTTACCACTTTCCACCAGGTGGGCCGTCAGCTTGTTTGCCATTCTAAGTTGTATAAAAAAAAGACTATCTTTTTGCCCGCCACTTTACACACGTGAATTTCAAAAGGAGTAAAACTAATGAAACATACCACTTTCAGATGATATATTAGGGTAAAACATACACCAGATTTTAAATTAGATCTTCAAGTATGTTGCATCTAATTTGGTGCAGCTGATCAAGATAAGAAGTTACCTATTTACTCTTCTCCATTCCATATAGTACGTGTGTATAATTTTTTTTTAGACAACTTAGAATGTCAAACAAGCTGACGGCCCACCTGATGGAAAGTGGTAACCGTCGCCTATAGACATGAACAGTACCATGGACATAGCCGTATTATGTATTATTTATTTTGTATAGGTATACATTATTCATTTTTTTGTTATTTTCTTTAATTGTTTCTTTAATTTAATTGTTAATTTCTCAACCTATCCCAATAATGGAGTACCGTGATGTTTCCTCCCACGAACACTCAGGTTATGGAATGAGCTCCCTGTCGAGGTTTTCCCAAAAGACTACAGCATGGGGTTCTTCAAAAGGGGGGTAAGGAGGTTTCTTCAGGGTCGGCAACGCGCGCGTAATATCTCTGGTATTGCAGGTGTTCATAGGCTACGGTAACCACTTACCATCAGGTGAGCCGTATGCTTGTTTGCTACCTCAATGGTATAAAAAAAACCGTGTTCGTGATTCACCGTTCATCCCAAAGGTTGACTGGTAGAGAATGCTATTAGCATTAAGTCCGGCTTTTGTATCTTAATTTACTTTGGTCGATAAAGTTATTTAAATAAATTAATAAATACTAGAGTCTACCTACTCTGGCCCATCACTATATCGCACCATTATTTGGGTCCTCCATTGTAATGAAGGGAACAATTGCGGCGTGGCAGTGGGTTTTGTTAGCCCGCCCCTGAGCATTAGCGAGACTTGCCGGCTAACAACACAATAATTGAAGCTTATTTACTCATTTGTTACTAAATAATCTAATGTACTCAAGAATTAATGGACAATAAGACTGTGTGATTCGCTGAGTGGACTTTATCGGGTTTTTTAGTTTAATGGGTGATAATGGAATGGTAACTGCACCCGCGCTATCGGTATACACCGGCGGGACACCAGTCAAGGATGATAGGTGAGGATGTAACAGGTCAGTTAGCCCATCGTGACGAATTCAACAAGAATTGTTCACGATGGTTTCCAGGGGGAACCACGTGGAGGTCGACCTAGACTTTATCGGTTTTTTTTTTCTTTAGGGTGGAAATGGTATGGTAACCCCGCCTGCGCTAACGGGATACGCTGGCAGAGCTCTAGTGAAGGGTGATAGATGAGAATGAAAACAGGCCAGTTAGCCCATCATGATGAATTCATCAGGAATTAACCATGATAGTTTCCAGGGGGAAGCGCGAGGAGGTCGACCTGGTTGGGTATATTGTTAGCAATATACCCAACTAGTGTGCTACACTAGATGTAAAACATTGATTTGGCTTTTGCTGTCATAATGTTATAATTGTTTTTAATGAATAAATAAATAAAATAAACTTACACCTATTTAGAAACTATGCGATCAAAATGGTCACCACTCAGCCAAGTGTTTAGGCATTCATACATAAGGACTAAACGCTGATTTTTTATAGAACCAATGGGGAGCGATAGATGGCGCCACCGATTAGACATATTATTATATGAATATAATATATACAACAGTTTATTAGCATAACAATAACAATTATGTTATATTTTTGTGTCGTAATCGTTTATCTTTAACTTATTTATTATTTTTCTAAAAAATTTATAGTAGAATAATTAGATTTAATTTACTAAGTGCTTGTTTTTAATTATAATAACAATTGAGACAGCGATTTAATCAGTAATTCACTGACATCAATACTCGATGAGATATATAATACTCATAGATAGATAAAAAATATTTTAATTTAAAATGCCAAAATTGCGTATCAAAAAGTAAAAGTTAGTTGTTGGAAACGAGCAATATTTTGATTGGTAAAAAAATGGCGGCTTCAGTCGTCACTGAATTTGTAAAATATATTATTAAATATAGGAAAAATTGGAAAAAGTTCTGTTTCTATTTATTATTAGCCATTAATTAACACGAATTAATTCAATTCAATTCAATTATTTATTGCTATTTCACGTTGTAACAATATAGGTCTTAAGTTATTAAAGGTAAAGAATCGACACGAACCCTGGAAGGGCGCAGCGATCACATTAATAAATATTTCATAAAGTACATAACTACATTTTTATATATATATATATATATATATATATATATATATATATATATATATATATATATATATATAGAATAGTTAATAGTCATCTACTTTGATAAGTTATAATACTAATTCACTTCCTTAATTAAATATTTAAAACAATATTAATAGTTTGAAAATGCAATTTCAATGATACTATATTATACGCCGAATATATGGTTTACGGTCAATTAAATATTTATAAAACAATTACAGTAACAGTACTAGTATTACATGGAGTTTTAACAAGGTCACCGTTACTGTGACCTTGGACGCGGTACAATATGAATTATTGAAACGAAGGCCTGTGTCAGCCGAAAAATCACGTAATACATTGAGATCGTTGATTTGGTCCCAGATCAATCAAGTTGTAACTAAAATTATGTAGATATTGCTTCACAAAAACGCCACTCACACTTCAACACATACACTCACGCCCGCACGCACGCACGCACGCACGCACGCACGCACGTCACACATCACACATCACACGTTCTTCTCAGAGCTCTCATCTCTACAACATTTACCATACTTCCATGCTTCTTCTGCCATACC